GCCTTCAGCCGAAAGACTACAGGATCAGCAAAAGCATAGCTTAAAAGTCGATCTCTGTTGTTGCTTTTTCTCCTGTCACAGCCAATCTCACCTTTCTTTCCTTCATCCCTCCCTATACCTCATCCGCAAAGCATGAAACAACAATAACACATTTACTGTTTATGGAAAGTGATACTGGAGGGCCCTTGGACTCAAAGTTTTAAACTGTGTTCTACATTCCACTAGACTTCTCAAGCTTGGCGCCTAGTTTGCTGCTTAAGTGTACCATATATCACTAGTGGATTTGATTTTTTAAATACTGGAAAGCATAAAGATTGAGAAATCACAAGAACTTCCATCCTGTAAAAAAATACACAAATACTTGGAAGGAAGTCTGTGACTGAAGTGCACTGGATACTCATTTCTCCGTTGGATCCTGAGCACAACTAACGCCCCTCCTTCGCGTTGTATAGTTGGAATAAACTAAGGTATGGTCAAAATGAACCTTTTTTTTTTTTTTTTTTAAAAAAAAAGTGATTGTCAAAATGAACCTTTTTTTTTTTTTTTTTTTTTTCCCCTGTTTGTGTAACTGAAGAACAATCCAAGAGTGAAATGGCTTAGATTGCTTTAAAAGAGCATGAAACTTTCTGATCGGTTATATTACTTGTGCTCTATAACATACAGAAGCAGGACGTCGCCACTGGAACGCATCTGATCAGCTTGTTCAGGTCACCAACTGCTTAATGAGAAGAGTATTTTTAAATAGCTTTAACTATTTCTTAACTGGATCTGAAATATTAAGAAACCGTGTTTCTATAATAACAAACACAGGAAAAGGAAGAAGTTGGTATGTCCAAAGGGAATAGTAACAAGTTAAGTAGGCTCTCAGCCTCGTTATTAACTTAGCCAAGGCAGCTCTCAGAGATTTTACAAAAAGTGTCACGGGTTTGGACTTCCCTTCTCATACACCTGACTGTTGTCATAGCACTTACCTTAATTATTACCTAGCTTTAGTGTGTGAGGGTTTTTTTTGTTGTTGTTTTTGGTTTGGTTTGGTTTTTCTATACTACTGAATGAGAAAATATGGCTGCATATTCCTTATTTTAAAACAGTAGATCATCTTCGGTGTATAACATCCTATGCACAACGTCCCATCAACAACAGATGCACTGACAACCTAACACTAGCACAGTAGCAAATAAAACACAAACTATTCATATTTCTGTGTAAACTTTATCCAGATGCAAACGCTGGCGACAACTTTTTCAACTCCCACGTTCAGGACATCAGTAATACTGTATCTCTCTATATACAGGCTCTTGCCAAACTTCTCCTCATGTTAATTGCAGTAAAATTCATCCCCTCCTTTCCCTGCAAACCCATCGTTTTCTGTGTCATCTTCTCTCTGCTTTAGCTAGAGCAGACTGCACCTTCTCCGCGTCTCATCTCTCTTCCACTCGTTGTACCTGTAACACTCCCACGTTCCAATTCCCACTACATCACCCCACCTCCAACCCCTCATGTCTTTCACCGCAATAAATTTTAAGCCTTTCTCTTTAGCTTTAACTTGTGCTTCCCTGTCTCTTTTTGGTCCTACCTCTCTCATCTTATTTTCTGAGTTTGTATCTTTCCACTCCCTAAATCTCTCTGCCTGGAACAGATTCCTACCCCTCTTCCTTCCAGCACACTCAAGAAACCAGTCTCCAGCAACACTGCTCTGTCTTTTCCATCCAGCTGCCTTATGTCATGCTTGAACCTTATACTGCTTAACCATGACCTTCAAGGTCAACTTGCTAATATGAACATTTCCAATTTTGTAAGTGTAACACCATACAGTCAAAGCCCTAGCATAAAATAAGAAAATTGCTGATATAACGATGCAGTTTAAATTTCAAACTTAACATGCAGAGAAATATTTTTCTTCTCTGCTAAAGGAAAAGAGTGCATTTTATAGTTCAGCAGATGATAGGATAACTGCCTCTTTGGCATAGCATTTCAATGACAACGTATCTATTTTCTCAAATTTTGTTTCTCATTTTGTTTTATCAAATTGGTCCTAGACAAGGTTTGTCGCTTCCTGTCTTGCGCCTCTCTTTATATTAAAGGCAGCCATTCATCCTGCATCTAATTTTGTTTTGTTCTCACCATAAAAATCCCTTCTTCAAAGATATGATTTCTTCAGCTTAAGAAGCAAAAAACATAAGTGTTGAGCTGTTCCCAGTGAAGTATGACATAACTGTTTTGAAGCACACGCGCTATATTTCTTATTTATGGGCACTCATATATTAATATCATCACCTTTTCAGATAGAAATAACTTGAAGGATTATATTTCACTTTCCACCTTTGCTGGAATCCTGGAGTTCCTTTTGATCTCAAATTATCCATGATGGATCGTCTTATATGTTCACTACCAATGCACCACTTAGATTTTAGATACTTCTTGACTTTAACACGTGCCATCCAAAACAGAACTTAAAAGGCTCTACGTTTCAGTCTGGTCGACAGGACTGACTGCTGTAACTCTGCTCCTTGGTATTACAGAAAGGTCAATTCTCAGACTGCAACTGGTTAAAAATTCCTAAACGCACGTTCTCAACAATGTTAGAGCTCAGGCATATTAATTTACTTCTAAAAAACTTTGACTGTCTTCCAGTGAGCTCAGAAGTTGATTTTAGATTCCGCATATCAAAACGAAGACTCTACAGATCCTTCACGGCTATATTTATTTCTAGTTCTAACTTACCTCCAAAAATAAAAACAACCAATCCCTAAAGCATATTACTGTAGTAGCTCCAGTTTAACGGAAAGCTAGTTTAAGAGGCACTTTCATTCAATTTTTCCATACAGTATAAACAACTTTTAGTCTGTCATTTTATTGCGTAAATAGTACAAAAAGGCAAGCGGGGAGCTCAGCTTCACATAAATATATAATCACTGTCTTCAGATTAGCCAGGACACTTATTCATACATTTCTATTAAGAACCAGAGTAAAATCAATAAAGATGTCACCTTTCAGAACAAGAGCAAAGCTGAGACCTACTGGCTTTAACATTCTGCTGTACTTCACCCCCTTCACCACATCTCACCAGTGAAACAGTAGCCATAAATAAGAAAACTTTAAGACATCCAGGCATATTTCACTGAGTAAATTCACCCCACAGCGCAAGTTGTCCAGGACTCCTAACAGGACAGCAGAAATAAAAGTTTTCCAATTTTAAGAGCCCTGTCGTGGCTACAAAAATGCACTGCAGTAATAGTCAATAATAGGACAAATGTACACACGAAGATTCATACAAAAAGCTTCAATTATTGCTCAGGCTGCAAAATATACTTTAGCAAGAACTGAAACACAAAAACAGAATATACTTTGTTCAAAGAACATAAAAATAGGTCCTGACACTCCAGTCTGCATTTTCATTAGGTAATAATTAGCTTAAGTTAGATTATATTCTAGGTCCAAAATCTAGATATCATCACCAAAAATTAAAGTTTGTCAGCTTCCAGAACAGGGCACAGTTCAATCCACAGGTAACAGAAGTAAATATTTTAAAAGAACAGTAAATTTGTGAGTAAATCTTATCAAAGCATATAAAGTTCTACATCAAAGGAAAGCAACACAAACAAGGAAGCATTTACAGTAGTTACACATCTTGCTAGCAAGGAAAGTACATCATGATCAAGGAGAGTTTATCAAGCAAACCCTCTGTTGCACTGAATTCACCCTTCACGACTGAAATAAAGCATTATGCTGAAGAGCATATTCATGGCATCAAATGGCTTCCACAAAACGTTATGCCATTAGTGACTTTTCCTTTCTGACACTGCCCAACCTCATGTGATGCAGAAGTTAGGAGCTGTGAACACAACTGCTCAGTCTAACCAATTAAGTCTTTATCAAATAATTCAAAGTTAACTTTCTCGGAACTGGGATACTCAAAGGTGCGTCTATCTAAGCACACCTAATTCACTCCTCTCGAAAAATCCCACTTCAAATGGATGATGACAGGTCCAAATAATTATCACCATCTTTATGCTTCCTTGTGCTAGCATTTTCTGTGCAGTTGCTCTTCTGAATTCAAGAAAAAAAAAAAAAAAATCAAGCCTTCCAAGGTTAAGCTATTTTTCTAGGAATTCAACTTTGTTCCCTTGTGTTATTGAGAGTCTGAACATCTAATTAGAGAAAAGGATTTATCAGCTTTTCAAACTAAGAGAAAAAAAAACAAGAACTTTACAAAGAAAAGACGACTCATAGTACAGGCTATGAAGTATCCGAGCCTAATAGCTATAAAAAGTTTAAAAAATACTTAACACCAATAAAACTGAAGATGAACACTAATTTCTTCACTTTTTAAGTCTGTACAGATACTCTTGAGTAGAACTTAATGACAGTCAGTATGTGAACATAAAACAAATCAAGAAACAGTTCCTTGCTAAAAGAAATTATTAAATGCTAGAATTTGAGAGAAAACTGTTAACTGGTATTGTAGATGCTTATAGGGAGTTTCCAGAATATTTACCTGTTAGTGTATTTACGTAAAATATCACCTCCTTCCAAAGTCTCCCCACTCCCCAAGCCTCAGAATTGCAACAGTTATCAACAATGACTTTACAAGGATGGAAGTGAAGGTATGTGTTTTACAGTATTTTTTAGAAAAAAAATTAACTACAAAACTAAAACATACAGTGTTGGATACTCATCTGCAAAACAATGATCATTAAATACTAGATGCCCTTCCACTACCGAGGGGACATACAAAATCACTCATTTGCTTGGGGCTGTGATACAAGAAACGTCGAGCACAGCGCAATGAACTTCACCCGTTGCTTTGAAGCTATTTCTGAAACACCTATTGTCAAAACGTGCTCAGGATAATCCTAGTTATCTAGTAACACAGAATTCTGGAAGAGAAATCCTGGAAGAATTAAAAAGGGAATAAATCTCAGCAATAATTCATTGGAAATGTATCTTATTTAAAATGATCTTATATATTTTTATTCTTGAAATAAAGGACTACTTACCTGATTGGCCATGTAAATTGTGAGCAGACCTCTCCTATAAACAGAAATGATAAAGTTAGTGAGTGAACTCAACATTTTTTGCATACTGAAAGAAAGGACACTTTAAGCATCAGAGTACTGTACTGAAGAGGAGAGTTCAGGAAGTAGCGTACTGATAGAAAATGAATCATTACCATGCTGTAATAAACAAATAAAAAAAAAATTAAATGCGAAACCAAAATAGCACCTTCCCAATAGCAGTGTCCAAAGCAGCAAGGAACTGCATGAGCAAGTTATGTTTAGTAACGTGTTACTGCACGTGAGTTGGGCAGCCGTCATGAAGGGGTAAGGCACCTTGAATGAAATAGCACTTACCACAAAATAAAAGCCTACACATAAACTGATCTGAGCCAAGCAATTCTGCTTCAGCACTCTCAGCTGAAAACACTTTTCATGATAATGGAAGCATACAAAAACAGTGGCTGTGGGTTAAGTTAGGTTGTGAACTTACGAAAAATTGCTTCTCGATAGGCTTTTATTTTGTAATAAGTGCTATATTGTTGAAAGTGCCTTACGCCTTCTGCTTGCATTATCATGAAAAGTACTTTCTACCAAGAGCGATGAAGCAAAAATCTTGGCTCAGATCAGCACAGCCTTTTTCTTGTTGAGAGTCACTATGCCAACAGTGGCCTGGCATAGCTGCCACTGTTTTCTCTTCTAATTTTTACCCAAGTATTTTGGGTTCCCCACTTCCCCTCCCCCCCTCCTTTTTTTTTTTTTTCTTAAGGCTTTCTCTATGTATCTCAAATCACAACTCACCAGCTTCCACTCTGCTATCACATGTTTAACCATTAAGGTTACTCAATATGGAAATGAGTTTATAAGCTGAACTTATATTTGTCTTTATATCATTTACAATTTTTCATACTATTACATGAACAACCGACGGCCCAGTCCAGGTTTGTAGAATCTTATGACCCAGTGGAACCTAAGTTGCTAAATTTCTAAGCATTCTTAGCGTGCTTAAGAGAACTGCATGTTAACTGAAGTTATCTTGGAATCGTTTCTGTTCTACAAGCAAGCAAAACAAAATCAGAGGTAGTAGGAAATAGCAGACCCCTCCATGCGCAGTTATTTATAACTTTGCCAAGCAAAGCATCCAGATCAAGGTTTTTCCACAGCAGATATCTAAGGCAAAGGGATATATTCCACTTAGAAGCTTTGGTGCTTTCACACCACTTTGAAGTTGAGTTACGGAGGCCCTCCGCATATACCTTTTCCACCTAGGAGCACTCATGCCAGGCACTACAACCAATATTCTAGCATGGTGATCTAGGAAAAAGAAGCCTGAACCTAAAGACTTAGTGAAAACAGGGCACACAAGACAACAAGATAGGGAGCAGGGTCTGTAGACATTAAAGAAAAGAGACCTCTACAACTTGTACCAAAGCACCTGAATAGGACATTCTCCTGCTGATCCGGAAGCGTTAACAACTCACCTTGTGTGAACCCAACTCTCATGATGGTCCACAAACGTTAATCACCTAATCTTCCAAGCAATCAGATCAGATGACAAGAGAATATCATTGTCCCGACCCTTCCGATTACCAAAGCGGCAGTCAATACATTTCTACATAATGTAAGTTCTATTTTAGTTTGGATGTCTAATGTCTCTTGGAGTTTTTCCTAAAATAGTGTTAGAAATTTAGGCTAAATACCAAAATACTCAGCTGTCTGGGAACACCAGAATTTAATTTTTCCATGTGAGCTAATTCGTTAACTCAATGTATTTTGAGTGTTCTGGAAAACATTAGAATAGCATCCTGCAGTAACACACATTTAACTGAGAGAAGCTACCAGCTTCAGTAGCTACCAGCTACTGAATGACGGAATAGACAGATGCAGCTGTAAGAATATAATGTGTATACTTACAATTATACTGTGCATTACACAACATGATTATTATATGTACAAATACTTTACTTAGTGGATTCTCCCCTGCATTCTCTGACATGCATGCAGGGTGTTTTAGCCTCCCACTGAAATTGGTTTCTTATTATAAGTACCAAAAACGTAAACTAGGAACTTGCTCTAAGTTTTTGCTGAAAGGGGCCACAATAAGAGCTAAGTATAAAATGAGACCTGCCAACTGCAAAGACAAAGAGAGGAAAAGGGGCTAGAGAAGAGGAAGGAAAAAAATGTGAAGCTACAGTGCAGCTGCAGAGAGGCTGATATGAGAAGTAAGTGGTCAGAAGGAGGGAAAATGTTCAGACATCCAGCGTGCACAAGGAAATAACTTCCGGAGTTGAAAATACAGAAAGCAGCCAGATGACATCATCTGAAAGTGCCTGCAGCAAGTCTCTAGTTGCTGCTGGATGAGGTCTTGTCTAACTCCATACAAAAACAGCTTTCTTCCCCCAAATTAATGTTGGGACAGATCTAAAAATAAATAGTTCTGTGTTTCTGAAAAAAGGACTCTTCCTGGCCTGCTACAAACATGAGCCAGCAAGCCTAACCTAACTATGAACTCAACTGTTAAAAAAAAGGGGGTAGAAGTTCAGAAAATGTTGCACTATTTTGTAACAATGACAGCTGACAGAAAACAGGACAAAAAGATGGAGTTAGTTCAAACAAAAGGGTCACTGATACAACCCAACGACTGCATTCAATTTGCAGCTGGTAAGAGAAAAATATAGCTGAGAAATAGTATTACAAAAGAAAGAAATAATTAAATAACAAAAATAATCAGTCAACCGTTTATAATTATCTGCTTTGGGGATTTTTACAGATCCTGAGAACAGGTTGACATTTCGCCCCAACAGTCCATGAACCAGTGCTGGACATTAACCACCAGAGCATCTGCAACAGCACATGGTTTTGCCAGTGATAGTTAGGCAAGGTCACTAAGAAAAAGCTCAAAGTGATGTACACAAATCCTTACCATCATTTACTCCTGCATGCTTTCTTCTTTGTCTCATGCCATTTTCCTTCGGAAGCAACTCTCACTAAGATTTTCATCTCATCTTAGTGCACCAGTACAAGGTAACACTGTGCTCTGTCAAAACTACTGAGAAGGAACTTATCTCACAATCAAGTAAGACAAAGTGTTAGGCTTCAGAGGCTGACCAAAGGTGCTGAAGATGCTGAACAAGCAAATTTTAAATGCAGCTTAGTGTGCCAAGTTACAGTATTTTGAGAAAGGCACTGATGGAAGATAAGACCTCCCAGCCTTGCCTCTCACCGCCTCCCTCTCACCTCTTCAGCGGGCAGTATCCCCCACATCCTGCTCAGTTTCTAATGATATATGCAATCTTTAACTTGGGAAAGAAAAATGCAAGTTCGGGGAACAATTCATGAAAGGCTGACCAATACTGAACTAGAACAAGGAAGTAAATCAGCATCCAAGAACTGCATCTGTGGGAGGAGAGATGTAATGACATACCCTGTTCCATTCTGCCAGTCTGTTTTGGTAACTTAAAGGGTTGAAGGCTTTCTCAAAAAGGTTTGTTTTAACAACACTGGTATCTTCTACCTGAAAGGGACGATTGAATGAAAACAATCAAGTTTTTGATGTACTGTTTAAAGTACCAAAATGCTGTACTGCTTATCACTTTCCTTTTTTTTTTTTTTTGTTCTAATTACTTCCTCTTCATGCTCTCGCATGAATTTTCTTGTATGTTTGTCAAAGGACTAAGCAAGCAGTGTCTCAGAATTTACTTATTTAACACAGGTCATGTCATCTGTTACTGTACAATTCCAATTTTGTGGATTCACTTTTCCTATTTAAATTGCAACAGACCACATGTTCCTAAAAAACAGTTCCCTTATTCGTTGATATCTTCCTCAAATAAAGGTTCTAGTCGATAAAATTTTCTTTTCTGACAATTTGGTGATATTCAGACAAAATTCTACAAGAACAGCTCTCCAACTACAGCCTATAAAGCTCAACAGAGAATCACATATTCTTGTGACTGTACTGCCCAGAGGAAAGAATCTAAAACAACTCTATTTTAAAAAAAGAAAAGCTATAGCATAAAAAGAGCAAGGAAGCCTAGCAGCATACTGGGCTGTATTAACGGAGCGTAGGCAGGAGGTCAAAGGAGGTGATTAATTCCCTTTACTTGGCACTCACTAGACCACACAAAGCTGGAGTGAGGTCAGCAGAAGGCCACCAGGATGGTGTTCAGGAGCACTTGCCCCATGAGTACAGCAGCCCTCCAACACCTATGAGGAGGTTATTAAGACAACAGAGCCAGGCTCATACTAAGGTGCACAGTGGAAGAATGAGGAAAAAAACACCATTAACTAATAGACAGGAGAGATCAACTTGACTGGGGAAATGATTAGGATAGAGCTCCGAACAGAGAGATTGTTGGTCCTTCGTCCTCAGAGCTCTTACAAGACCTGCTTGGACACACCCCTGAGCAACCTCGTCTGAATTTAGGGTTGATCCTGCTGTGAGGAGGAAGCTGGACAAGATGACTTCCCAAGATCCCTTCCGACCTCAATAATTCTACAATTCTATGGAAAAAAAGGTGGAAAGCCACTTTACCACAGGATTTCTTCACAGATTACAAAATGTGAAGAGATCACTGTGATAAATACTCTCATCTGGCTTCCTGAATTTTTCTGTAAGAAATTAGTTTCAACTAAATCATGTTTTCTAAAAAATAAATATATAAAGATGCAAAGAGGAAGGAAAAAAACTCATTTTTATGTATTTTCAATAAAGTCATCACAATCATTCCCACTTTTTCAGAACTCATCTTGGCCTACGGACAACTTAAGGAGACAATAGTCCAACAAAACTTGCACCACTATCAGATACACAGTAGCATGTATGATTGAACTTCTCAATATTTACCTGATCATATGTCATAAGATAACATTACATCTTTTAAGGTAGTGGCATGAACGTTTCAGGGGACTACTGGAAGCAAAACAGCTGAAGATTCACCATGCAGTATTTTATTTAATTAACATTTAAATCACAATATTTGTTTAAAACTAAACCCTGGTGTTTCAAAACACTTTCTTCTCATTCATGAACACACT